CTCATGGTGATGGTCGGAACCATCACGCCGACGATAATGGGAATCTCCCTACCTTGCACTCTTGCGGAGGTGCCCATGCGATGTGGTGTAGGACGGCTCATGATGTGACATACTGCCAAGTCGCAAAGCCATATGTATTCTACCTGTTTCACGACCGGTATTCGCTAGTCCCTTAGAGCCCTTTGGCCTATTATTGACCACCTATTTCCACTTATCTTTACGCGCTGTAGTACGTGTGGCATGGGCTTTAACCTGCTTCCATGCTTTAGCGCGACCAACAAGCGTCTTCTCCGACAGCACCACTTTATCAGAATTGGGTGGTACGACCTGATCCAAACAATCTAGCCTTCGACTGACCGTTTGGAGAGTATTGTTGAACCTCTCCAGGTAATTCCTCATAACTGGGTCGAGCTGTGAGCTCGAGGGAATATCCGCCACGGTACTTTGCGAAATTGGAGGTACTTCAGGAGAAGTATCATTCTACGCCTGGGGATTTGCTCGTTGTTAGTGCTAGCTCGCTCGGCTTTAAGACCACGAGCCATTTGTTTGTGAATAGAACTGGTTGATTAGAAATTCTTGATGAAGAGCGGATACTAAATCAAACACTCCTTCTAGCGTCAAACTATTGATGCTTGATTTTGACACCAACGACTCGCATGTGCAAGGTGCTAAGCTACTCTTAGAAGTTACATGTGAATGATTGTAGATGATCTAATGCAAAGACTGAATAATAAATGAAAGACGATTTTTAAAGTGGTTTGGATGCTTAAAGTGAATCCTACATCCACTGTTATCTTATATATGAGAGATTACAAGAGCTCGTGTATAGCGAACAGCGAGTAGAGGTACAATGACTGATTATTCAGACAGAATATCAAGTCAGTCTTTTTCTCGTAGGTTATCTTTGCTTTGAGAATATAGATTACAATTAGAATGAGGGTTTTTTGTGTATTAGAATCCCGAAAATGAGAGGGGGAGTCCTCTATTTATAATAGAGGAAATCAAGGTAATGATTACAAATTTGCAAGTGGGTAGGTGTCGTGCAAGTCATTCCTTGCCTCCCATTGGCTGATAACTTATGATATATCCTCAAGTTACCTAGGGCTTGGACAAGTGTGCAACTCCCATTCACTCATAGACAAAACCTGAATCTGCCAAGTTTGTGACAGCCATATTCTCTCTGTCTCAGGGCAACGTGGCAGCTCCTAGATGGCGCAAAGTCTTTCTAAACTTTGATTGGAGCTAGCTGATGTAGGCTTACATCAACCCTAATTTTTAGGCATGTATATATATATATATATATATATATATATATATACAGTAAAACCCCTTTATAGTCATAATGGTAGGACTAACTAATTTTATTACTATAAGGAGGTTATAACTTAATGGAGGTGTAGTTACAAAAATTATAGTTTTGATTTCTTATTTTATAATTCATGTTTTAGTAGTTCAATATTAGGATTTCAATTTAGCGCTTCAATTGCCTACTTTTGAAATGGATAAAAGATTGTTTCTTAGAACCAGCAAAAAGAAATGTCATTGATGGAACTGTAAATGCAGTTGATGCATGGTCAATTGATGTGAAGCCACAGACAATTGTCAATAGTTTTTAAGCGCTGCAAAATTAGGATCACTAATGTCAATAAATTGTAAGTTACAAATGAAGTGGATGAGAAGAATAAAAGAGTCACTATAGAATTGAGTGATCAGATTCGACAACTTCACTACACTAATCGAATGAATATTAATGTCTTCTTCGATTATCCAAATGAGCAACAAATCGTGTATGCTTTAACCAAAGGAGAAATCATTGTCGCAATTAGACAATAAGAGAAAGGAAATAATCCTAAGGATAATAGTACGGAAATACAAAAAATCTTGCACCATGAAGCTCTAAACATGCTTGAGAAACTAAAAATATTTTGGCTTCAATAAGAAGGTATCCAGCTAACGAGCTATTACGTACTCGTAACGTAAAAGGTGTGATAACAACTTTAAAGTATAAATCATTGTCCCAAACAATTTTAAATAAATATTTTATTTCATTTTAAACCTTTAATTTTACATAACATATTTTTTTTTTTGTAATATACATATAATTATTACTATGTAGAGATAACTTTCCTTAAGGCGGGAATTAGAAAAATTATAACTTATTACAGTGTAGAGTTTATTCTTATTTATAATTATCCCAAATTGGGACTAGAATTTTTTATGACTATGTAAAATTTATTCCTATATAGAGTATCACTATAGAGATGTTTTACTGTATATGTGTATGTTTTTTGTGAATTTTAAAAAAGTAATAATATATTTTTACAAATAATTTATATAGACTAGTTTTCACAAATTGATGTGACAATTCTATAAATTTGATAATTCTATAAATTTGATATATACTCTCTTTTAATTATTTAATTTATTTTTAATTTAAATTTAAAATCATTCAATAATATCACTATGTTTTCTATGGGTTAACCGATGACCATCGCTAATCAGAAACATGGCAACGATATATGTCTATGGACTAACAATTGTTATTGTTTGCTGTGAAACTTTCAGGATAGATTATTTTTGAATTGAAGCCTTAAAAGTAAGGTTGCGTTTGGTACATTTCTTTTCTTAACATTTGTAAAATCCTATTCTGAATATATTTTAGGATATGATTCTGAGAGTGTGTTTAGTATGTTATTGGAAAACATTTTCTGAAAATATTTAGATTATTTTTAACTCCATACATTCGTTAATTTAGTTAAACACCCCTCAACAATAAAAGTTTATAAATTAACACCAATCGAATTCCGGCAACTGGCCATCATCGCCGAAAGGTGGTCGTGAATTGCCGGAATGGCGCACGACCGGTTGGATTTGGCCGGTCATGCGTCGATCTTGCCTTTTTCGACCAGATCTATCGTTGATCTAACAGGAAAATGCCAGATCTATGGTCAGATCCATCATGGATCTGATTGAAAAAGTCAAGATCGGTGCACGACTGGCCAAATCCAACCTGTTGTATGCTATTCTGACGACTGACGACCACCATCTGACGATGATGGTCGGCTATCGATAAAAAGTTAGGTGTGTAGGGGTATTTTTGTTAATTTTAAATTTTTTATTGTGAAATGTGTTCATTAAATGTTTTGTGTTAAATATAGCCTAGATTGGATTTTGAAGAATATAAGGCTCTGTTTGGTTCACATTTTTGCGTTTTTGGGAAATTTTTTTTGAAAAAAGTTAAAAAAAAGTTGAATTGGATAGGTATTACGATGTAAGATTTATAAATTAATAAAATACCCCCTATGTTTGTTTGTTTACAAAACACCCCTATAATAAAACATTAAAAGTTAACAAAAACACCCCCAACCCACCCTCAAATATGGACAGCAAGCCACCACCGCCGGAGGGTGACCGGAGTCGCCGTATCGGCGCATGACCGGCTGGATCTTGCCGGTCGTGCGCCGATATGGCCTTTTTCGGCCAGATCCACAGTGGATCTGGCCGGCAAAGGCCAGATCTACGGCTAGATCTGGCCATTGACGGCCAGATTTGGCCGTATTTGCTCATCAACGACGGCCAATAAACGGTCGTCATTGATGGTCAACGACGACTGTTTGTTGGCCATCGTTATTGACTGGTTACGGCCAAAGATCTGGCAACGGCCAGATCTTTGGCCTTAGATCTGGCCTTTTTCGGCCAGATCCACGGTGGATCTGGCCAAAAAATGCTAGATCGGCGCACTACCGGCCGATCCTACCAGATTCCGGCCATTTTCTGGCAGTGGTGGCCGGAATCTGATAAATGTGGATTGTTAGGGTGTTTTTGTAATTTTTAATAAAATATTTAGGGGTATTTAATTAAATAAACAAATTTATGGGGTTTAAAAAAAATTGAATAATATTATGAGTTTTTGATATTTTACTGTTTAACTTTTATGGGAATACTAAAAGTAGTATTCCCAAAAACCAAGGCTTCGTTTGGTTCAAAATTGGGAATACTACTCTTAGTATTCCCAAAAAAGTTAAACAGTAAAATGCCCAAAAACTCTCATTTTTGGAAATACTACTTTCAATGTTATTCAATTTTTTTTAAACCCTCTAAATTTGTTAATTTAATTAAATACCCATAAATATTTTTTTAAAAATTATAAAAACACCCCAACAATCCACATTTACCAGATTTCGGCCACCACCGTCAGAAAATGGCCGGAATCTGGTAGGATGACGCAGTACCAGCTGAATTTGGCCGGTAGTGTGCCGATCTAGCCTTTTCCAGCCATATCTTTGGCTGTAACAGTCGGTCACGACGGCTAACAAACGGTCGTCGTTGACCATCAACGACGACCGTTTGTTGGCTATCGTTGAGAGCAAATACGGCCAGATCTGGCCGTAGATCTGGCCTTTACCGGCCAGATCCACCGTGGATCTGGTCGGTAAAGGCCAGATCTACAGCCAGACGTGGATCTGACCGGAAAAGGCTATAGCGGTGCATGACAGACAAGATCCAGCCGGTCATGCACCGATAAGATGACTCCGGCCACCTCCGGTGGTGGTGGCTGACTGGGAGTATTTGAGGGTGGGTTATGGGTGTTTTTGTTAACTTTTAATGTTTTATTATAGGGGGTATTTTGTAAAAAAATAAATATAGGAGATATTTTATTAACTTATAAATCTTATTTCGTAATACCCACTTAATTCAACTTTTTTTTAATTTTTTTTAAAAAAAATTTCTCAAAACCCCCAAATTTTGAACCAAACGAAGCCGACCAAAGGGAGCCTAAGGTATTTAATATAATTTACCAAGCATTAATTTTATTATTATCTGACGTCAGAAAAATGCAGGCAAGGCAGAGGGCTTCTGTTTTGGAATTTGGAATGGGTTATAATTATGTTATGGTATGAGCTATCATAGACTGACTAACACAGTGGCCCACTTTAAAGCAAGACCAGACTCTTAAAAAAAGAACAGATATTTCAATCAGCAACACGCTTTGCCACGTTTCGCAATTCCAACGACTAGAAGACTCAGCTTAGTCTTTTCTCTCTCTTCTTCTCAAAAGTCATCACCATTTACTCCCAACTCAAAATTCTACCCTGTCTAAAATCTAGGGTTTCTCAATCCATCTCAATACTCCTACATCTTTCATTCACAGGTAAATTCTATTTTAATTCGGTCATTTCTACTTGCCACCTGAACGAATTCGTTAGTTGTTTTGAATTTTTACCACTCAGTTTTGGTGAAACGACTATTTTTTATAGGTATTTGTTCATTTTGGTTGGAATCTGACTGTTTAGGCTTGGTCTTTTTTATAGTGATGGATGAGAGCACGCAGTCTGAGGCTCATTTGACGTCGGCTGCAGCTTTTGTTGAAGGGGGAATCCAAGAGGCTTGTGATGATGCTTGCAGCATTTGTCTGGAAGCTTTTTCTGAGAGTGAACCTTCAACGGTATTCTATAATTCAGTTTTGATGGTGTGTTCTTTCGACTTGGTCATTTTTACATATTTTTGAAAGTGTTGTCTGTTGTTTTATGCAGGTGACTAGTTGCAAGCATGAGTTCCATCTTCAGTGCATTCTTGAATGGTATCTATTTCAATTTCAGTTTTGGGGATTTATAGTTCTTCTTGATGGATTCATTGGGTCATAACAAACGAATGCTTGAGTTAATAATACACCCTTATCTCTTATTAAAATAATATACCCTAATGAATGATCTTGGAATATTGATGCATATTTAGAAGTAGATAATGATTTTGAGTGTTTTTATTACAGTGTTTTGGTTTTTGAGATTGCAAATTTTTTAGGACAAGTCAGATTTTGAAGAGACGTTAAGGAACTTTTTATGTGAATAACTTTTATGACATTAAATCCTTGCTATATCCTGGCCAAACTACAAGAGTGTCAGCAATTATCTTGCTAGTGTAGTTTTACATATGGCTGGTTCAATTAATGTCAATGTGGATGAGCAACTGACCTTTAATAGCCTCAGTTTGACTCAAAATCATGCGTGCATTGCTTGGAAGGTAGTATCAGTGTTTTATGTTTACCAATCTGTGACCTTTGTTAATCACAGGGCATATGGAAATGCGATTAAGATTATTTAGTGCTTTGCATTTCACATAAACGTGCAATTGAGTTGTACTGTTCTTGGTATTATATAGCCGAATAATATTATTAATTCTGCTCAATACTTGACTGGAGTTGGGATACAAACAAGAGAAGTCTATATATATGTCCTAATAATCTTTTGAACATGACCAAGATGTGATTAATGCTGTCAAAATCACTTTAGCCTCCTTTGATTTTCATAAAAAGGTTTACTTTTTCATTCAAGGATAGAGATTAAATTAAATTCGATGCTAAGTTGAAGTTAATGTCTACCTTATGAGTTTTATAAACATAGGAAGCTTTGAAAGTCACAAAAGATGCTAGATTTCCCAATAAGTTTGCATGCTAAGTAAATGAAATGGAATCAAGTAGTTTCAGGGTCCTTGAATGTATAAATTGTTTTACATGGAACTCATGCTAGTTTACTGTGAAATTGGTTTTATCAAACTCCGAGGATATCTATTGTTAGGTTCTTTGGTTGGATGTAGATGTGCTATTCTAAAATTAATATTTTATATGTTTCTCATGTTGATGGTTGAATGTCTCAGATGAGAGGTTACAAGCTTTCATTAAACAGGGATGGTAGGTTAACTGTTAATATGGATTAAAATTAAAATTGTTGGTTTGCTGTTGATATTGCAATTAAAACATAAATTTGAAACCAACTTATGAGTCATTTGTATTCTTCCATTGTTGGGCATACATTCGGAATGCTTGCGTTAGACAATTAGTCTCTTGAAAACATTCAAATCTACTTCATCTTCAATCTCTTTATCATGTGAACTCCAAGTTAAATCTTTCATATGCCATATTACACTCTTAATGCGGAATAAATGTGAGCCTTGCTCTGGAAATTGTTAGTTTTGGATTTCCTGAGTTTTATCCCTTTAATATTAGTTGGCTAATGATGATTCAATCTATCAGAGTGTTGCTTTCTGGTTACTTTCATGTAAGTTCAGGCCATCCAGTACTCATAAGTTACCTTTTATCTCTTTTTTCTGTTAGAAGAAAATCTGGTCAAAAGCTTATAGCAGGTCTAGATTTTCAGTCCCACGACATTTGAAACAGATATTTGACATGAGTTTTGGATATTATTTCAATCTTGTAGGTGTCAGAGAAGTTCCCAGTGCCCCATGTGTTGGCAACCTATCAGCCTGAAGGATCCTACCAGGTCTGTATCCCATTCCATGTCTTCTTTGTTTTCTTTATTTACCTATACCTTTAGTTCAACAGAACTTATGATTTTGCTCACTTTGCCAGCCAGGAATTGCTTGAGGCTGTAGAGCAGGAGAGAAGCTTTAGTTTTAATACGTCTAGAAATGCTACCATATTTCATCATCCAACTCTGGGAGATTTTGAGTTGCAGCATGTTTGTACTCTTCCTATGATATTTGGAAGCTGTATTTGGTCAATAATTGCACGTATGTCTCATTGTTAGTGTTATTTCAATGTTGTTGCCTTCAATGCAGTTGCCAGTGGGTGCAAATGATGCCGAACTTGAAGAGCGTATAATCCAGCACTTAGCTGCAGCTGCTGCAATGGGGCGAGCACGCCACATTGCTAGAAGGGAAGGCCATAGGAATAGATCATCAGCTCATGGTCGTCCACAGTTCTTAGTGTTTTCAGCTCATCCTAATTCAGCTCCGGCCGGTTCTGTCTCTTCATCTCCTATTCAGAGAGAAGAAGGTGAACCAGCTCCTACAGCTACTCCCTCATCTCCTCCGACTGTGGCTGAAGATTCTTCACAATCAAACGTACAACTGCTTTCAGTTCAAGGTGACCATGGTTCAGCTTCACCATCTGGGTCAAATGCTCCTTCTCCCAATCAGCATGGCAATACCTTAAATAATAGGTATCTATCTTTCTTTCATCTGTTATTAGATATGTTCATAAACTGTTTATTCGTTTAACATATTTTTAATTCTTTAGTTTGNTAGAAACAGAAATAGAAACAGAATTAGAAAAGGAAAGAATTAAGAGTCACACACGGGGACAGACAGTTAGAGAGTTTTACTTACTGAGCATTATTTGTGCTCACCCCGTTATTTTCCTTTGTGGATGCAGGTTCTAGGTGTTGATGCGGTTGGAGGGGCGTCGGCGCGCGAGGAGCAATAGCTACACTGTTCCCCTATTTTGTCTTTTAAAATGCACTTTTGTAAACAGTAACCTTTGTGTATAAAAGACATGTGAATTGTAATGAAAAGAAACATTTTGGGCCCAATTTTTCATTGTTAATTGCATGCATTGTACTAGTTTTCAGTAGGTGTTACATTTCGTATGACTAATAATAGACTCTGGCCAAAGATTCTGATTTCTGACATTTATCGACGTAAGTCCAAGAACTCGAATCCGAATGGAGTCAGCGGTACTGCTGATCCTATATTTCTGAGTCAATGGATCCCTTCTTGACCATTGTTCATTTCCGCATATGAACAACGCATGACCAAATAGGCTTTATCATACGAAATATTACTAGTCTCATACTTATACACCGTATGAACCATACGCATCCGTATCAAATCCGACCATAATGTCTCAAATCAAAGGATTACATCATTCACTGATATAACCAAACGATAAATCATTGACTACATGTTTTTCCAAGTAATTTGTCGTTATTTGGTCACGTTCGAAAAATAGTTCATCAACCGCTAATCCAACCTATTGCCCCAGTGACATGACTATCATCGTCATCCATACTTATATCAACTTATGATATCTTTCGAAAGCATCCAGTATGTCTACTATGCAATATAGTTGCCCAAATTATATTGCTTCCGTAGGGAACCTTTGGATAATTCATTTACCGATTAAATGAATCATCTGGACAATTCATATACATACTTTATTTTAAATGTATGACTGAATAAAGGAAGCAATTTATATATGTGAATTGAAGAGTTCATACTTTATTTTAAATGCATGACTGAATAAAGGAAGCAATTTATATATATGAATTGAAGAATTATTTCTTCTACTATTTATGATATATTGATACAAGACAAAATGCTCTGAAACCGACAACACGAATGGTTTCTAGTTTATACACTAATATACACTTATAGAAGAGATACAAAAGGCGATAGACCAATTTACGATCAATGTAAACATCTACCAACACAGGTCACATACTGCTCAGGACCCTCCCAAGGGAATGGCTGCGATCTCGGAAGCAATTTTTAAATGTGGGGTGAGGATACCCTTCCACCCCTACAGTAGGTCGATTCTCGACCACTTCCAAGCTACAGCGTTCCAGTTGACACCCAATGCATATACGATAGCAGTCACTATGTATATTGCATTTGGCGAATACAACCTCGGCGTGCCAACAGCATTGGAACTCGGCTGTGCCTATAATTTAAAGAGGAGTAAAGACAAGGATTCATACTACCTCTCTAAGCGATCAACAATCAAATGAGGGATATTTGGTTACCTTAGCAATGTCAAGGCTTACGAAACCAAGTATTTTTTCTTTGAGTATGACAGAGTCTGTAAATTTAGAGAACTGAGTAGGTTTTCCTTTTTATTCTCAAACTACTCATACTTTATCTTTTACTCTCCTTTGATAACTAAGGCTAATGAATTTTTTGCTTTCTTGCAGAAAACAAAACGACCAGGTTGTCTGCGCTAGCTGATTTTAGCTACATCGAGGCATTTGGTCGCTTGGCCAAAAACAGTCATGACGCGAAGCTGCTCGTGACTACCGTCAATTTGTGAAAGTATGGTTTTTTTAGTGTCGAGGCGTCATTGGAAGCTACAGCACGTAAGTAACTTTTTTTTGTAAAAGAACTTTTTAAGTCTTTTACTAACAAGAGAAGACTTTTCTTGTTGATTCATTTTCATGCCATGTAGTAACCATGCCACCAAGGGTCCCAAAGACGTCGAAGAAAATGGGGGGGGGGGGGGGGGGGGGGGCGGTCACATTCCACAGGATTAACCTGACCGAACCAGTAGCAACGACCTTTTGCGGTATCCCTAGGGGGGTACGAATTGGTGCCAAAAAGCAATAACCCGCAAAGCAACGAGAAGAAGCTCCCTAGCCCGTGGCTGCTTGAGCTTCAAAGAAGAAGATTATGGGCCAGAAGTCCAAGAAAAGAAAGCAATTACACGCTGAAGAAGACACTGAATCCGAACCAGAGGACTTCAGGGTATTGCCAAGCAGGTTTCTGACTTATAGTCTTTTCTACAGGGGTGCCCTCAAGAGATGCTCCCAGGACTTGGGTTGCTCCCAAGAGCTCGAGAAGGGGAGAGGGAGCGACCACAACTACCCAAGAGGGAGTAGGCAAGCAACGGGTCGAAGGAGCGCCTGCCTCCACAAGGAGAGACCCGTCCGTGCTGGATTCATTAGGGCAACTACCAGACCATTTACAATCGGTGGTTTACACCTACTTAGAATGCCAACTTGGCACAGCCTTTGACGGGTTCATGGCTGCTCGACCCGTCGACCTAGTGGCCACCACACTCCAAATGCAAACTTAGGTAAAACGACCCATTCTCTTGAAGAACTCTTGCTTACCAACAGAAGCTTTATTTTTTTCAGAACAAAAAAAAAAAAAAAAAAAAAAAAAAAAAAAAAAAACTAATTTCCCATTCCTTTCTTATGCAGTCTTTGCTTGTTTTGAATGTGGCTCAACAGAAGATGGATATGGACTCTGCCAGCAAACTTCAAGAACTAAAGAAGAAAATGTCAAGCAAGATCTCGGAACTTTAGATGCAAAGGCAAAAGCTGTCCAAGTTCAGGTGAATATATATATATATATGACTGAAAGGAACTCTATTTTGCGAGCGTCAGACTTCAACAAGGTTGAGCTCGAGAAGAAGAATGATTAAAATAAAGAGTTCCTTTGAACAATAGCGAGGCTCACTAAGGAGTTGAGCCAAAGAGAAAATGAGTTGCAAGCAAGCTTAGAGTGCGAAAAAAACAGCAGAAAAGACTTGAGCTGAGTTGTGGGAAGACTCAGAAAAGTAGAAGAGGGCACTACAGACAAATCTCGAGCTAGCTCAAGGGCACGTTACTTTGCTGAATGAACATATGAGGCACCAGGACCTTAAGCTTGAGAGGAAGGCTATTCACTAGGCAATACAAGCTATATACAACTTGTAGCCGAGATATCCGAAATTGGATATCTCTGACCTCACTGATGATTACCAAGCGGTTCTTGTTTCTATGCTCAAGGCTGAAGAGGTTGAACAACAAGAGGAACAAGAACCTCTCTGGAGGATGATCAGCTAGAAATAGATATTCTGAAGACTGCACAATCGATCTGGAGGTTGGTGGTCAGCAAAACGACCAAGAGGTCGCACCCAATGGGCCCAAAAACAAAGACCTGTGATCGCTCACTTTTCTGTTGGAATGGAGTCTTTTTATAATGTAGCTTTTTGTCATTTTTGTATACATTTATTGAATATATAAAAAGGAATTTTTGATCATTTGTGATAGCACTTTTATAACTCAAGCACTTCACAAAATAAACATAGCATATTCGATCATTGAACTTGTAAAATGTTATAAAGAAAAAGATTTATTGAAAACTTAAGACTACAACACAGTATTTCTTTTGAGGAGAATTGGAACAATCTTATTCACGATATTTACAACAATAAAACTTTACAAGTGAAAAATGATCAAGCTATAAGCGAGTTTATAATTACTGATAATAAGGGCAAAGATGCTCAACAGTCCAAGCTCGCAGCACCTCAGAACCATTAAGCCTTTTGAGATGATACGTTCTGAGTCGTATTAACTTAGCAAAGTGATATGGACCTTCCCAGTTAGGCCCCAATACCCCTGCACTTGGTTCTCTTATGCCAAGAAGGACTTCTTTCAAAACCAGGTCGCCAACCTGGAACTCTCTTCTCTTGACTTTAGAGTCGAAGAATCTTTTTGCCCACTGCTGGTAGGAAACTATCCTTAACCGAGCCTTGTCGTAGTGTTCTTTAACTAAGTCCAGACTCGCATGTAAGAGTGTCTCATTGTCTGTTTCACTAAAAAACTCTCTCTAAAGTGAACCAGTCCCTACTTCCACTAGAACCATTGTCTCGTCGTCATATGCTAGAGAGAAAGGTATTTCTGAAGTAGAGGTTCTTGGAGTCGTTCTATATGCCCATAGAACTTTTGGGAGATCTTGGACCCAATGGCACTTGGCTACGCCAAGCTTGGCCTTCAATGTGTGCTTAATAGTTTTGTTGACAGCTTCAACCTAACCATTGGCTTGTGGTCTTGCCACTGAGGTGAATTTCTTATGAATCCCAACTCTTCGTAAAACTGCTTGAATTCCTCATTGTCGAACTGCTTCCTATTATCTGAGATGAGTGTATGAGGAATCTCATAGCAGCACACTATATTCTTGAAGATGAAGTCTTTGAGCTTCTTTGTAGTGACCGCGACCAAAGGTTTTGCTTCGACCCACTTAGTGAAATAATCCACTGCGACCACCACATACTTCCCCTTTATCGGCTGGCATGGGCCCGATAAGATCAATTCCCCACATAGAGAATGGCCAAGGACTAGTCATTGTCGTTAGCTAGTAGGAAGGAGCTCATGGGATGTTCGCGAATATCTGGCACTTATCACACTTTTTCACATAGTTGAAGGCATCTTCGTGAAGTAGGGGCCAATAATATCCCTAACGGATAATTTTATTAGTGAGAGATCGTGCGGCAGTGTGATTACCACAGATCCTTTCATGTATCTCTCTCATGATATAGTCTACTTCATCCTTAGTTACATATCGGAGGAGGGGAGTGTTAAACCCTTGCTTGTACAGCTGATCCATGATAAGTGTGTAATGAGCAGCTCTACTTAGCATGAGTCTTGCCCATCTCAGAAATACTGAACAATCGGTGTCATCTAGGAAATAGATTCAATTAAAGTTATGACATGATCAGGCGAGCTGATGTTGGGAACCTCGATGTATCGAACCAGAATATTGTTTAGAGTATCGGAATCTAGCGATGAAGCTATCTTTGCCAAAGCATCCACAATAGAGTTACAATCTCTCGGGATTTGCTTGATCGTATAGCGTTTGATGGGCTTGAGCGCGACCTTAGCTTTCTTCAAATAACTGATCATATTCTCTTCTTTGGCTTAATATTCTCCCAAAATTTGATTGACAACTAGTTCAGAGTAGCTATTAATGTCAATCATATCTGACCCCATATCTGACCCCATTTCTCCTGCTAGTCATAGACCAACAAATAGCACCTCATACTCAGCTTCATTATTCGTAGCATTGAACCCAAACCTGAGGACTCCATAAATGCGAGTCCTTTTGGGACTAATGAGTAGAAAGCCAGCTCCGACTCTTCTCTTATTTGAAGACCCATCAACATAGAGACTCCAGTTTGACAAGTTTTGAACAATTTCCTAGACAACTTCGCTGGTTGGCTGTTCAAATTCCCGATCTGGTTGATGAGAGAACTCCGAAATAAAATCAGCAACAACTTGCCTTTTGATTGTTGTTTTGGGTCTATAATGTAAATCGAATTGACTTAGTTTCATAGCCCACTTAAGCAACTTACCCAAAGCCTCCAACTTCTGAAGAACTTGTCTGAGTGGGTAGTTGGTTAATACATGGATAGTGTGAGCATGGAAATAAGGTCGCAATTTCCTGGAAGCGATCAATAGGGCAAAAGCTAATCATTCTATCTCTAGATATCATGTCTCGACATCTAGTAACCGCTTGCTCATATAATATACTGGTCACTAAATTCTACCTTTTTCCCGGATGAGAGCTACACTGATCGCATACCAAGAGACGGATAGGTAGAGAAATAAAATTTCCTTGGGAAGTGGCTTGGATACAAGATGTGGCTTTCCAAGACTCTGGAATGCTTGTTCACATTTTGAAGTCCATTCAAACCTCTTGTTGGTCCTAAGTATATTAAAGAATGGCAAACAACGATCTGTTGCTCTTGATATGAAGCGACTGAAAGCCGTTATCCTCCCATTTAAGCTCTGAACCTGCTTTCGGTTGGCAAGACTTTTCATATCTAAAAGAGTTTGGATCTTTTCAGGGTTGACTTCAATTCCTCGATGGTTAACAATACCCCGGGAACTTCCCTGAGGATACTCCGAATGAACACTTGAGAGGATTAAGTTTCATTTTATATCTCTGGAGTATGCCGAACATCTCTGCAAGATTGGCTATGTGATCTGAAGCGACGTGCGAATTGACTAGCATGTCATCAACATAGACTCCTATTGACTTCTCGATCTGCTCAAAAAACATACGGTTAACCAAATGCTGATAAGTTGCGCTAGCATTTTTCAGACCAAAGGCATGACTTTATAACAGTACAGTCCTCAATCCGTAATGAACAAGGTATGCTCCTCGTCGGGCACGTACATCGGGATTTGATTATACCCCAAGTAGGCATCCATAAAACTTAACAGCCTAGAAGTGGCATCAACGAGCTGATCAATTATGGGCAAAGGGAAACTGTCCTTCAGACAGGCTTTGTTAAGGTCGATGAAATCAATGCAAGTTTGCCATTTGCTGTTAGGTTTCCTCACCAAAACAGGATTAGCGACCCAACTAGGGTAAAGAGACTCCCAAATGGACCCGATTAAGAGGAGCTTATCCACCTCAACATTAAAAGCAACATAACGTTTCGGATCCAGGGTTCTCCTTTTTCTAGTGAACTAGCTTGATCTCACTATCGATGTTGAGTGCATGACATATTACATTCGGGCTGATCCCAACCATGTCAACAGAAGTCCATGCAAAAACATCAATATTCTGTCTAAGGAAGCTTGTCAGATTTGTAGCGAGCTGAAGGCTGAGATTACTTCCAATCCTCAATACATGGGTTGGCTTGCTCTAGTTGACTGGTACCTCAGATAGAGTCTCAACAGCCCACTGTGGGAATACTCCTCACGAACCCGAGGATCCAAACTGTCTTTCACTGGACCTAGTTATGGTTCAATCTTGCCGATCGACATAACCTGCTCGAGAATGCTGATTGGCTCCTTTTTCCCTTTGCATGCCATCTACACTACTCTTACATAGCAGTCGTGAGATTAACTTTGAGACCCCTTAACTTCCCCGCACCCTGTCAGTGTGAAAAATTTCATCTTCAGATGATAGATGGAGGTGACAACTTTGAAGTTCTGAAGTAAAGGTCACCCTAATATGCCATTGAAAGCGAACGAATAGTTTACAACCAAAAACTCGGTCATCTTAGTCACTTCGTGGGTCTCACCCAAAGTGACAGGAAGTGCAATTATTTCCTTGAGAATCAGATGATCCCTTGTAAAGCTATAGAGGGGGATAGAGGCAGGCTTCAGATCTGCCTCGTCCAATTTCATTTCCTCGAATGCTCACTGAAATAGGATATTCATGGCACTACCATTATCCACCAACATCCTGTGGACTTCGCACCGACCTATTTCGGCATGATAACGAGTGCATCCTCGTGGGGGTGATGCAATCGTACCACATCTTTTTTTGAGAAGGCGACCACTGAATTTTCAATCCTGAGATACTTCTCAGTAAGGTTATAGAAACAGGTGAGGGAAATATCATCCTCAGATTGCAGCTTCTTCCATAGGTCGGTTTGTGGGCAAACTCTCGTAATAATAGGAGTCCAAATTAACTCTTCAAGCATATTGGCCACCTTATGCAGCTCCCTATGGAACCTGTCGATATAAAACTAGAGGGATTCATTCCTCTCCTGTTGTATATTGCTTAGATAGCTCAACGACATTAAGAACTTCCTGTTAGCCTGGAAGTGTCTAAAAAATAACGAACTCATCTGTTGCCATGAATTAATAGATCCTGGCGGAAGTGATCTAAACCAGCGCTTGGCATGGGCAATTAGAGTCACAGCTAAGCAATGACATTTATCCAAGTTGGAAACTTGGTGAAGCTCTATGAGGTTGTTGAACTCATAAAGATGATCTTGCGGATCAGAATTCCCATCAAATGCTCTCATGTCGGGCCTTCTGAATCTTAATGAGAGAGGAGCAGTCAATACTGCTAGAGAAAACGGAGATGCCTCAGCGATCTACCCTCACTCATTCTAATAAGCTCTAATTTGATCTAGAGCTCGCTGTAACTCCTTAATCTAAGGAAGCGAAGCTACTTGGGGATCACTTTTCGCAATGTGGGTTTGACCCTCACGATTATGGTTGAGGAAAGACCGTAGGTCGGACTCTTCCTCACCTAGGCTGAATCCTCTAGCATACCTTGACACACACTGGCTGGAGCCATGTGAAGGCATGGAATGGCT